CCCCCCGCCATCTTTAGTGGAATGGTCTGTGCTCCTTTCATGTTGCTGACTTTTTAATTTGTATCTGACCCTTTGTGACCCCATGGACATGGCTGAGTACATCAAAAGGACATTTATAACCCCTCTGATTCATAAACTCGCAGTTGGCCCCCTGACAGCACCATTGCTTTAACTGCCCTGTGCTCTGGCTTGCAGATATATTTAGTCTGTTTGCCAGCGACTCGGGCAGCTATGCCACGCGGGAAGACATGGAGGCCATGCTGCGAGCCGTGGATGGGGAAGTCCCGCCCTCTCTCAGGAAGTGCTTCGCAGAGGTCAGCGGCCCGTCATCTGTATTGGTCACCTTCCCTGTCTGTTTTCTTCATTTAATTGGTTTGCAGTTATGACACTCTCTGTTCCACAGAGCAGACCCTGCAGCATAGTATTGAATATTAAAGGACAATACTGATTATCGAATTAATCATTTCATTTAATTTTCCATAGAACAGTGTTTGCCAATCTGGTCCTCGGGGACCCACAGTCAGTCCACATTTTTGCCCCTTCCCAGCTCCCGGTAGACTGTGGGTTCCCAAGGACCGGATTGGGAATCGAAGATATGAGAGGCTGCACCTCTCCTCTGTTGCCGTATGTGTTTGTTTGTGGTGGGTTTGATTGTTTTCATTTGAAAGAAATGTATATAACTTGACTTTTTAAAGATTTTTTTTAACCATGAAATCACCCTCACTTCTCCAAGTGGGCAGGTTTGTTGAGGGATTCGCCCAAACTGGATTAGCGAGAGCTTTGCAGGTTTAAATCGGATCTTTGTTCAGCAGGGTGAGCTCACGCCCTTTCACCAGTCTGAGGGACGGCCACTTTCTAATTGTGAGCTAGTGACAGGATTCCCAAAGCACCCGGAATTATTATTATTATTATTTTAGGACAAAGGGAACGCAGCAGTGCCGCTCTGCTCAGTCTGCTGTTGGCTGAGGCTTCCTCCTCTCCCCAGAGATGCATTCACAAGCTTCCTTATCGATTCCCGTCTGGTTTGACGCGCAGCCACTCTGCCACTTGTTCAATACGCCACCCCTCGCCTTTTTGCACCGTTGGCCACGTAGCTGACGCCTTTGCTGGTGCTTCACACTGTCCCGCTCGATAGGGGAGACAGATCCCGGTCTCTCCTGTAAGCATACCTGCCCTGCAGTGGCTCCTCACGGCCAGAACCGGACGGTCTTGCTTTGCACTCGATTCCCTGGGCAGCCTCTTCAGCCCACCCTCAAGGCTGAGCCATGTCGGGTGCAGTTTGGGATGGCTCAAAAGCGCTAGTTCCCCCTGTTCCCATTTGTCTGCGCAGGGGGAGAGGGTCAATTATGAGAAGTTTAGGAACTGGCTGCTGCAAAACAAAGACGCCTTCACCTTCTCCCGGTGGCTGCTGTCCGGCGGCGTCTGCGTCACCCTGACGGACGACAGTGACACGCCCACCTTCTATCAGACCCTGGCCGGCGTCACACACTGTAAGTCACCTCCCCCCCCCCGCCCAGCTCTGCGCCATGGTCGATAGCCCACAATGCACCGGGGCCTCAGTGAATAGCTTGTCAGGAAAGCCATGGTTGATCTGTATAAAGGCAAACTTCAGTGACTTAACATTGACACTTGTGTCTCACATGGTTTCCCGCAGTTTCTGGTTACTAGGTTGGTTGTTTTACGTGTCATTTTGTTGACTGTTTTCTCTGGGTTAGGAAATCAGATGCGGTACCGTGATCTCCTTCTGGCAGTGCTATAGGCTGCTGTTGGTCTCTGATACAGGTGTCCATCCGAGTGATTTTGTCCCATCTCCCCGACACCATCATGGGTGACATGGCGGTTTACCACCTTATGTACGCTTCCGTCTCCCTCTTGTTGCGTTGTTGTTTTTGTCCCATTAGGGACATGTCACACATGTTACCTGTCCCCAGATAGTGTAGGGTGTTGCCCCTGGGCCAGCGTTTGTTTTGTTCATTCACCTTTGAGGGCTTCACCTCCAGAGGTCTCCTGAGGTGCCGTCAGACTCTCCTTTGACATATCGGCTGCTCTGCCTCATAGTTGCTGTCACCTCAATATGCTCTGTTAATGGCTGCCTTTGGCGTTCGCCTTTGTCGTGGCTTCTCCGTGTTTCGCTGTTCTAGCCGTACATCGGAGGTCAATTAAGAACATAAGAACATAAGAACTATACAAACGAGAGGACGCCATTAATACGTCAGCCCCAGAACCTTCTTGAAGGAACTTGGAAGCATTATGCAGATGCTTCAGTGAGTGTTGGACTGGGTGAAATCTCTCAGTCCTGGGCAAGGAGGGGGAGTGGTTGAAAGATCTCAGCTGATTTCCTGTCCCAGACCAATCAGAGGGTAAAAAAGCCAGAGAAGGCAGGTAATCTTCTTAGTGAGGCAGGCACTGTGCCTGTGTGTACCCCGCTTGTATGGACACCGCAGAAGAGCCAGAGGAGACGACAGGTGGCTGGGGTGGGTCGCTGTGGCGGAGTCGGCCTGTTGCATCCCTCACCACACGTTTGGTGTGTGCTGTAATATGGTATGGTTCTCCTGTTGCCAGTCGGGAAGGATCGCACCTCTAGGTATGTACCTGTTGGCTGTGGACTGAGCCACAGAGGCTTAGAAGGAGGGCTTCAAAGTTGAGATTCCATTTCCAAGACCTGCCCTTCGCTCCCGGATGTAGATCTCCGCCTGCATGCTGTCGGGGCTCGGGTGTGGGGTGACACATAGACACCGGCAGTCACCATTACATGCTCTGCTGTCATACACCACGTAGCATGGTACCGTCAGCACGCACACGCTGCTGTGCCCCCGGGGGATCGTGAAGGAGGCCGCCATGCCTTTTCAAAGCCAAAACAAATGAAACATCAGGTGATCGGGGCGTGTCTTGTTAATATGCACCGTGGAGATGTGTCTTTCTGAATCACTCCTCAGTGCCCGGAGACCAGGAGAAAAATGATTCTTTAGTGATATATGTGTCAGCCAGTGTGAGCGAAGATCCAGGCACTGCCACCGCCGCCATCGCCGCCGTCGGAGTATCACTCTCGAGGTGTGAGACGTGAAAGTGTCGTAGAGCTAATTAGCAGGTGCACGTTGGGTGTCTCTGATAAGATAGACGCGCCGGCCTCGGGGTATTTTCGTGTCGTTTCAGCTTGTCTACACACGCCTAAAAAGTCAAGCTCTCCGTTTATGGGGGGGGGTGTAAAATAGATGCCCCCTCCCCCGGCAGCACTGGGAGTGGTAATCCGGGGCCGATGCACGGTGAAGGATGAGAGATGCTGCAGGGCAAATCCATACTGGCGGTAATGAGTTTTATAGATTAGCAGTCGCCGCATGAGGATCAGGTCATGAATGATACCAAACGAGATCAGCCCGTATTTATGTCCCTCTCTCCATATTATTGCTGAACTAATCATTGTTTTCCTCTTCCGTTCAATAAGGATATGTATCATTTTGATTCGTCCGGCTGCCCTGGTCGCACGCGTCTGTTTTTTAGTGCCCAGTGACCCTTAATCATAAAATAATGTCACCCATGGTGGATGGACTCCCACAACCTCTTAAAGGAGCCACACACTCCCTCGTGACCTGGGGGGTGTACAACTGCCCCCGTCGTGCCACGCTCATCTAAATAATTAATCCCATGTCTCGTTATCATTCAGCTGTCGTCCTGCCGCGGCCCTTAAAATGTCACCGTAAATCATGGATGGCCGGGCTATCGCCGCGAAGGCTCTGCCGCGGCTGCCGCTCGTCCGCTCCTCTCCGATCTTTGCCGGCGGGGTCAAGGTTCTCCAATTACTTTGCCGAATGGCGGCAGTGTGGGTCTGCCAGGTCGTCACGGCTACGGAAACACCCAAAGCATCGTGAGGGTGCGCAGGGTTGCGGTGGCGACCCAGGCCACGCCTGGGCTGACCATTAGCCAGAAATGTGCCCGGAGGCCTTTCGTCGAGGGCTGAAATAAGGCTGCTATCGCCCGGGTTTACCTACACGCCCCATGAAACCCCAGCTCCCTGGCCCCGGAGGTATGGCGGGGCACCGAGGCACAATCCCATCAGCCTAAGCCACGGATTACCATGGCGAAAGAGGAAGCCGCCTCAGGCTGTTTTGCTCACCTGCGCGATTCTCCCTTTTTAGACTCCCGACTTCTCCTGCAAGGGCCGCCTTGGGCGTCACAAAGCGTCTGTCTGCTATTTGTAATACAACACCAGTATCTTAAAAGGCATCCGTCTTCTAATGGGTGGCAGCCATTACAGCGGAGTACCGTGCTGTAGTATTAGCCACTTGGAAAAACGTCACCCCTCCCCCACACTGCTTAAGTCTTTTTTATTATTATTCCAAATTATCCATAGGCTTTACATCGATTTGCAGCCTAATTACTGCGAAGTATGCGATTCATCTTGTAAAATAAGTAATTAAGTGCATTGTCTGACATCGCTACAGCAACAGAAATGGGGAGTATTGTGCAGCTGACGAGTCAGCATAACGCCTCTCTTTCACAGTGGAGGAATCGGACATCATCGACTTGGAGAAGCGCTATTGGCTGCTCAAGGCCCAGTCCAGGACGGGCCGCTTCGACCTGGAAACCTTTGTGCCGCTGGTTTCCCCTCCCATCCATGCCTCGCTAAGTGAAGGTACTGGAACATTCGAATGTCGTTCACTCGTTAGGCCACATGGCCCGAGCAGGGTGGGGGCTGATTGGTTGTTTCTTTCTGTTCACGGAGGGGCCGGCGCCTCACATGTTACGAGTGTGTGCAGTGACAAGGGCGCACTCCATGCTTATCTCATGTAAATAGCGGAAGTCGCTTATTGATAAGAGGCCATTTTGGTCCCTTTTAAAAAAAAAATCACTCCAATAAGAGGAATAGCACTTTTTCGATCTGTCCTCGCAGGATTGTTTCATGCCTTCGACGAAAATCGTGACAATCACATCGACTTCAAGGAGATCTCCTGTGGGCTTTCTGCGTGCTGCAGAGGGCCAGTGGCTGAGCGGCAGAAATGTAGGCATCAACCTGCTAATGAGCTTCTTTTTTGGCTTTAACCTGGAGAACAAATTTAATTAGAACGGTGATTCTCAGCCCAGTCCTCAGGGACCCAGAGACGGTTCACATTTTTGCTCCCAGGATGCCTGTACCAGGTATTCGGTCATCTTGATTGTTTGGATGGTGCTTGTTTGTTTGGCTCAGGTATTTGGTGTTTGTGATTGTTCGGTTTGTCCATGTTTATTTGGATCAGGTATTCATAGTTGTTTGGTTCAGGTGCCTGAGGACTGGGTTGAAAAACACTAAATTAGAAGAAATCTTAAGATTTAAACTACCTTATTTTGAACTTTCAGGCCGTGGGCTTTTAATCTCTTCTCATTTTTGTCATCATAGTTTGTTTCAAGGTGTTCGATGTGGACCGGGACGGTGTCCTCTGCCGAAGTGAGATCCAAGACATGGTCGTGGCGTTGCTGGAGGTTTGGAAGGACAACCGCACAGACCCCCTCCCCGTGAGTCACGGCCCACCGACGGCAATCATTAGGATGTGATTCTCATTCCTTGTTGTGTTATTGGCATGTAATGTACTGTAATGTTTCTTAGGTTTAATATATGACATTTATGGCCAAGGTTTTCAGAGTCATTAATCTTACTGTCATGTTCTGCTGATCAGTTGATGCTGAGAGTCCTGTGTGAACATGTCGGGCCAGATAAATTGCTTGTGTAAAAAAAAAAAAAAAATTGCCTGATTTCTGGCAGTATTTTCAGTTTTAGTTTATTTGGCAAAGCCATGAGTAAAGGATTAAAGCGGGTTGAATATCACTGAAGTGTCATGTCATCGCAGCAGAGAAAAAAAACTGCGTAACGGCTGAATACGTTTGAATTTGCGTCAGCAGCCCCGTCCCGTGCGTGCTCAGTTTGCCGTTGTCCCTTTGCAGGAACTTCATGCTAATGTGGCCGACATCGTGGAAGACATTTTGAAAATGCACGATAACACCAGGGTAAGCTACTTGGGGTGCCTCACGATCCGACAGGTATAAGCCGTGCTTTGTTTACATACACATTGCATTATGTACAGTACAACAACAGTCTGGACACACCTGCTTTTAATGCAGTTGTTACTATTTTAACTGTGTTACTCACCTTATAGTAAAAGGCCTCGATGAAATGAAGTAATATGTGTCAAATATTCCAACAACCAAGAGACATATTCACCATCTTAAATTTTTCACTCTTCAAAATAGCCCCCTTTTGCTTGGATGACAGCATTGCAGACTCTTGGCATTCTTTTAACCAGCACCCAGATGTAGCCACCTGGAACGCTTCTCCACAAGTTCTGAGCACCAGATGGCTACCTTACTCTCACTCTTTGATTCAGCTCATCCCAAACCTGCCCACAGTTGGTGGATTGTGGGGCCAGGTCATATGTCGAGTGCCTCCATGTCGTCCTTGTTCAAAAGATAATGCAGTTCTTAGCTTAGAGTGTGCTTTAGGGTCATTATGTTTTTGAAAAACAAATGATTTTCAGTAGGTGTGTCCAGACCTCTGACTGGTACTGTATAGGTATATGTATAAGCCCTTGTGTCCAGTCCTTGTGTTGTTTTGTGCTGTCCGACGTTTGGCAGTTTAAGTGTTGTGGATACTCTCCTTGTGTCACTTGCTGTTGTATGTTACACCGCGGACCTGGGGCAATGTCATTTTGTGCCACTCTATACCTGTATATGGATGGCATGACAATACAGGCCTCTTGACTTGACTTGAAAGCTTGTATTGTGTTTGTTTCTTTTCCCAGTTGGGCCATCTCACTCTGGAGGACTACCAGATCTGGAGCGTGAAGAGCGCGCTTGCCAACGAGTTCCTCAACCTGCTCTTTCAGGTAGCAGCCTAAGTTTCAGGGCTCCTTGGTTCTGATTGGCTCTCGGTGTCACTGGCTGGCCCCGCCCCCGCCCACTGCTGTGTCTCCCCTCCTAGGTGTGCCACATCGTCCTGGGGTTGCGTCCTGCCACGCCAGAAGAGGAAGGGCAGATAATCAGGTGCGAACCTGGTTTCCTCTGTCCCCTGTAGGCTCCTCAGCACTCATTGGGTGGGGTCCGAAGCCCCGGCTCCCTCTGAGCTCACCATTAGGGCCCTGACATGTTGTGTCTGCCATGCAGGGGGTGGCTGGAGAGGGAGAGCCGACACGGGCTGCAGGTGGGACACAGCTGGTTTCTCATCTCCATGCAGTGGTGGCAGCAGTGGAAAGATTACGTCAAATATGTGAGTGGCGCCGTTTCAGGAAGGAGCCTTATACTTTGGGCCTGTCACCCGATCCGCTCTCCTCGAGTCGCGTCCTGGTCAGCAGGACTCCTAGCAACTGGCCGTGTCCCCGCCCTCAGGATAACCATCCCATTGTGGTGGAGCAGCCGCCAGTGCTCGGCACGGGCCGGAGCCCCCTGGCGGCGGCGGGAGCGGAGCAGGCCACCGACCGCAGCGGCGCCAGCAGCTCGTTCAGCTCCTCCGACGAACGCTTCTCCGACAATGTCTCCAGTGCCTCCGAGGCCTCTGAGACCACCAACAGCAGTGAGTCCTGCTGATCGCGGCACCAACTGGTCGCCTGCTTTTGCCTCGGAGCCCCAGGCAAGCCGGGTCCCTCAAACCCCCCCCATGCCCTCGTCAGCCCCCCCTTTGCTTCCTGCCTAGGTATGATCGCCTCCAGCTCCACGGCCACCGACATCTGCTTCGCGCGGCAGCACAACGTCTCGGACAACAACAACCAGTGTTTCTTGGGCGCCAACGGAAACGTGCTGCCTCTTCTGGCCACGCAGAGGCCCGGCGCCATCGACAACCAGCCCATGGTCACCTCGGAGCCCATCAAGGTGCGGCCCAGGGGCTCGAGGTCCTAGAGGCGGAGTCAGTACCAGGAACATCTGCTCATGTGTATTTGTGCGGGTTGCAGAATGGCTGACCATTTACAGATAAGAATGCGCATTTGGCTCCTTCGGAATCAAAGCACAGTTTGAAGTGTAGCCTCAAGAAAGGGAACTGTCAGCACTGACTTCCTGTAAACAGTAACTCGAAAGAGGAAGCCACTTTTCGAGAGCATTGGCCCTCATTTACCAGGCCCCGCCCACTGTGCCTGGCGCTGTCTGTGATCCAGGCCCCGCCCACTGTGCCTGGTGCTGTCTGTGATCCAGGCCCCGCGCACTGTGCCTGGTGCTGTCTGTGATCCAGGCCCCGCGCACTGTGCCTGGTGCTGTCTGTGATCCAGGCCCCGCCCACTGTGCCTGGGGCTGTCTGTGATCCAGGCCCCGCGCACTGTGCCTGGTGCTGTCTGTGATCCAGGCCCCGCCCTCGCTATCAGGCTCCTGCTCTCTTGGCGCCGAACCCTAAGGACAGATGGGGGTGGGGGGGCGTTGTTTCTCTTTTGTCTTCCTGCTGGGGCACGTGCTGCTCCAGGGTTATGTTTGAGCAGCGGCAGAATTGTAAATTGTGTCCTTGTTTTGCATTTTTAATGTGATGTTTTATTATTTTATTTGTTTTTAATGTATACGCACCTTTGCAGGCCCCCACGCTAACCATGGAGGGGGGTCGACTGAGGCGATCGCCACCGCCAAGTCCGAGCCGGGACTTCGAGGTCGTCCCAGAGCCCGTGTGGAGGGCGCTGTACCACTGGTACGGTGCCAACCTGAGTCTGCCCCGGCCGGTACGTATGGCAGAACCGGGCCGGGGGGTGCGCTCCCGACTGCACACGCCGTACTCCACGTGCCTCCTGGTTTCCATTCAGACACCCCCCCCCCCTAGGTTAAGTACTCCACTTACCAGATGAATAGAATAGAATGGAATAGATTACAATAGAATAGAACACTTTTATTGTAATTGTATACAGCAGGTACCGTGAAATGCTCTGTGTGACTCTGACTGATTCTTCCAAAAAAAGAGGAGATGGAAATATGTATACAGCAGTATATGCATAAATATATGAATTGTATTAAGTACAATTCATTACATAAATGTTAGGTATAATAAATACAAAAGGATAATGAAATACACACATATATACACATGAAAAATGACTGTAAGGTATAAAGTGACATGTATCTTTGGCCATGAGAGTGTTGCACAGCAACTGTAGGCATGAAACACAAGAGGGGCCTGGCTGAGAGCAGAGGTCATCTGAGGACCTGCTTCAGTCTGCTAATGACCCTGGAGAGAAGCTGCTTTCAGTCTAGATGGACGGCCATAAATAGTCCTGTAGCACCTTCCTGGTAGCAGCAGTGCAAGGAGGTGGTGACAGGGGTGTGGCAGGTTCCCGGTGATGTTAGTGGCCCTCTGGAGGCAGCGATATTGTATTTCTCCTCCAGGGTAGGTAGCAAGGTCCCTGGGCTCTTCTCAGTGTCACTGGCGACTTTTTGCAGCGCTTTTATTGGTCGGCAGAGCAACCGCCCGCATCTGCTAAAGGCGAGCCGAAATGACCGTGCCCCTGCATGTGAAAGTCACGGCAGAAGCACTGGAAAAGGCAGAGCTAATCATTCAGGAAGGAAGTTACAGAGAACAGGAGGATCATGGGGAATGGAGTTTGGTGGCAGATTTGTGTGCCGGTCGTACAGGCAGCAGGAGGGCTTGACTCTGTTTGACCGCCCCCACAGGTAATCCGGGATACCAAGACCGAAGTCCCCGAGCTGGAGCTGTTCCCACGGTACCTGCTGTTTCTACGGCAACAGCCCGCGACCCGCAACCCCCAGTCCAACATCTGGGTGAATATGGGTATGACCAGCCTGCGAATGTTCCCCCAGCATTTGCCCCGAGGTAACGTGAGCCGGCAGCAAGAAGAGGCCCATGATCTCAGCTCGCTAAATCACACCCCCCCCCCACCCTCCCCCCAGCTGAGAGCTCCAATATGACACTGACCAAACTGAACGCCTGGCCAGGCGGTACACCCCCGTGTCTGCATGCCTGGGAGGCGTGAGTCGGTTTGAAGCCCAGGGTGAACCTGGACTCCCTCTGTGGAGAAGTGCAAGGAAGGGGGAGTTGGAGGAAGAGGAAGCTGGAATGCTGGCTGCACTGCAACGATCCGGCGTGCCCAGTGAGAGCGTAGCTTAGCGTCACCACTGTAATTGGTGTAGATCTGATTAGGGGGGGCTATCAGGTATCTGCCTTCAGCAGCGGAGGGCTGGACCCCCCTCCCCCCCCACCCTCCATCTTCAGAATATCCGGCCACAGCCCCCACCCCCAGCAAGCAAGATGGGGGTCGTGCCTCTGGTTTCATGTCTGATTTTCACAATGCAAATATCAGTAACTCCAAATTTGATTGATTTCAGCTTCAGTTGATTAATCAGTCTGCACAGATTTGTAGGTTAAGAATCTGGACTAATTTTGATTAAAATTTTGCTTAATCAGAGCTCAATCTTCCATACACTAATTATTTTTTGATGAATTATTCATAATTGCCTTTGCCCTTTCTTGCTGCTTCCTCAACTAATCCTCATGAGTGCTTAAAATGGCCTTTTTAATGCCGTGTAATATAGTCCCTGTGTACAATTAATACAATTATGCTTTGTCACTGTATTTTTTGTTGAATCATTTACTCTGATTTTTTGCTGAGCTTGGCCAAAACTGCAAACCTTAATTTGTGACGTACGTGACAGTTTCATATATGTCTTCTCCACCCGATGTGTACATGTAAAGCGTGAAAGAGACCGATTGTCAGTAGAGTAGACATTGAGGCAAAGCGTATGATATTCCACCTGCAGCGGCTGAGTTTTTTTTTTTTATATATTAAATCACGTTTGTGTTTCCTAGGCAGGTGGTGCCCTGAATCTGTAATCTGTGTCGTGCTTCAGCAGCAAAACCGCCTTAGAATGACTAGCGTGTGTGTCCCTGCTACACGCCGTCCCCGAGCGGTTTCCGGAGATGTCCGTGGTCTGACGATAGCAACTGCGCGCTGCAGATGTGGCAAGCCTTTAGCGTTCAGGGGCATTTAGACATCAACGAGCCTTAGCTAATGATATAAAGAGAGAACCAGGTTTAAGTTTATATTCAGAAATGGACAGAGAGGTGGGCCGTCAGACGAGTCAGGTCTCCATCCATGCGGGCTGCATCCTTGTGAGCATTCAGTGATGCTAAAAATCAGCTGTCGACTGCCTGCTCCCCCACCCCCCACCCCCCACAGGTAACGTGCCTTCTCCGAATGCCCCTCTGAAGCGAGTCCTGGCCTACACCGGCTGCTTCAGCCGTATGGCCACCATCAAGGACATCCATGATTACTTGTCCCAGCGGCTGCGCATCAAGGAGGAGGACATGCGGCTATGGCTCTATAACAGCGAGGTGGGCGACCCTGTTGTCCGGGAGGTGGGGGGGTGGCTTTCCTGACTTCCATGTTTCCCCTGGCGGCTTCCACGTTTCCCCTGCAGAGGGCAGCAAAGGACTCCCTGTGTAGCGATAGGCTTGGGAATCGATGACCGCAAAGCGCTAGTCAAATGCTGACCATGTTATAAGTGATATTAGGCCAGAGATGTTGACCATGGAGCAGACACGCCATGAACTGGTTTGGGGTCATGCTCTACAAAAGGTTTGCCACAGGTTATGAGGTCCATGAAAATGAAGGCGATGTCAATTTCATTTTCAGAACTACCTTACCCTGCTCGATGATGAAGACCACACACTGGAAAGTTTGAAGATTCAAGACGAACAGCATTTAGTAATTGAAGGTATCATCGCTAATGGAAACTGTACAGCACGTGTCTGAACACCGTGTTGTAGATATACATTTATTTGAAAAGCACCATGTTTTTTTGTGATATAGTTCGAAACAAAGACATGAGCTGGCCAGAGGAGATGTCTTTCATAGCGAACAGCAGTAAAATGGACCGGCACAAGGGTAACGTATCGTAGATACTGCTTCCCTTCATTATTGCGAAGGTGAGGGCTAGCCTGGTGTGGTGACGATGCTCTGTTTGGGCTCCCGCAGTCCCGACGGAGAAGGGAGCAACGGGTCTCAGTAACCTGGGAAACACCTGCTTCATGAACTCCAGCATCCAGTGCGTGAGCAACACCAAGCCTCTGACAGACTATTTCATCTCAGGGAGACACCTCTATGAGCTCAACAGGTGGGTGGGGCACGTGGGGGCGGGGCCAGGCAGAGACTTACAGGGACAGGTGCTGAAAGGCAAAGACCAGAGGGGGGGGGACTTTGACGGTGGGGTGGGGTGGCATCAGGGCTTCGCTAAGTAACTTGTTGAGATAAAGGGGGAGATTCAGTAACTCTAAAGGGAGACGGTTCAGATAGTTTGGGCAAAATGGGGCGGTTGCTCAGGCACCAGCAGACCCCCCCCCCACATGGCAGCGTCCACGGGTGGGGGGCAACAAGTGGTCACCTGCCCCCTAGAGACTTAACTGTAATACATGTATATGCAATCGAATCGCATTCTATGCAAAAGGTACTTTTAAAATGTATGAATGAAGTTAACTATGGTTGTCACTGGGATCTTTTCCACCGTATTTTTTTCCATGGTGTCAACAGTAATATGCAGAAACACAAGGAATACTTAGCTAGTGGCTTTATTTCCAGTTCAGGCACACATTTTTAAAATGGCGTGAATTAGCATTTATCCCCCAAAAACAATCCTCTTATTTGCCACGGCAAATGGTTAAAACAGAGAGATGAAATGTGTTGTAAGCAGTGTGCTGTATTAGTAATTAATTACAGTTACTGATTACTCCTTTCAAAAGTAATTCAATTTCTTTACCAATTACTAAATATAAAAGTAAATAGCTACTATGAAGGTAACTTTTTTTGCATTTCAGTTCTCTTGTAAATGCATAAATATCCAGACAGCACGCACGCGTCGCTGGGATGTTAGTTTGAGATCGGAACGTTGTTAAATGATTGCGTTCCATTTAGGCCTATTAACAATATTTACATTACATCAGCTAATTTGTGTTTCAGCAAGCGCATTTTTTTTTCAATAATTTTGTTTTGATCAGTTAGAAAAAAACTGTTTAAAAAGTTGTTAGGCCTATTTTTACTGGTTCTGTCATCTCAATATATGTATCATAATAAGCACATAACTTTTAATCGCATAAACTGTTTGGTACGTGGTTTTAAATAGTATGCCTACATGCAGGGTAAACGGAAGAAATCTACCCTATTTTTGGTGTGTGCGTGTGTGTATCTGTGCGTGCGTGTGTGTGTGGCGTGCGTGTGTGTGGTATAACCCTGTTGTGGGTTATATAGCCTAATCGGGAAAGGTAACAGTAGGCTAAACGTGGCATAGTGATCTCATTAACATTGCATTGCACAGACACCAGGGGAATGTCGAATCAATATTCAGTAACGATGCCTCTGTAACGATGTGGCAGTGAGCGAATGACTTCACAGAGATACTTTGCCCATGGATTTTAGAGCATCGCAGAGACATTGTGCTAATGCATATGTGCTGTCTGGATAGTTATATTACTTTTAGCATTGCTGCTGTGATAGAGCGAGACAAAATAACTCTTAAATTTGATCTATCACTGCCTAATATTACCCATCCATTGCACCACCTTAAGGTTGGATGACGCTGGACCATAAACTGGAAATTAGGGGAATAGGATGTATTAGGATGTATTTTTGATATTTTATTTTCACACAAGACAAAAGTAACAACTAATGAGGCCATTTACATTTCAGTACTTTTAATTGCGTTATTTAATTTGAAAAGGTAATTGGTTACATTATTTGTGGCAGTAACAAATAATTTACTTATTTATTTAAAGTAATAAATAAGAGGAATAAGAACAACAAACAAAGAGAGACAGACGTCCTATTACAGTATGACGACTAACTCTGGTTGTAAATGAGCTTCTAATGCTCACTGTTAACCAGCAGCATCAACCATAAAAAAAAATCAGTTTTTCCTTAAATGTTTCATTTGAACCAAACACAAAAGTCTTGTTTTCCAAGAATTGATAGAATGTGCTTCAATGTCTTAAACAAGTCATATGTCATTAGCTGATTTTTCTTCCATTCGTTATTTATTTAGCTGTGTGAAATGCTGTCTGACAGATCTGATGTTTGCACCTGGTTTTCTCATGTCTTTTACTGTGATCTTGCAATTTTTTATCTGCTGTTTATTGTATTTTTCATGGATTAACAGAAGGTATTCTGGCAATAAGAAGTGCTAATGTCTCTCTCTGTGCCGCAGAATCAATCCGATTGGGATGCGTGGTCACATGGCCAAATGTTATGGCGATCTGGTGCAGGAGCTGTGGAGCGGAACGCAGAAGAATGTGGCTCCACTCAAACTGAGGGTGGGTCCTCCCAGCACCCGTGCTGCACCGGCTACTGGGTCAGCAGCACAAAGTCTCAGCACAGTAATGCTCACCTTTGCCCCCCTCCCCCCACATTTCCTTTTTTTTTTAGTGGACCATTGCTAAGTACGCCCCAAGGTTCAATGGTTTCCAGCAGCAGGACTCGCAGGAGCTCCTGGCATTCCTGCTTGACGGGCTTCATGAAGATCTCAACCGAGTCCATGAAAAGCCCTACGTGGAGCTGAAAGACAGCGACGGCCGGCCCGACTGGGAGGTGGCTTCCGAGGTCAGAGTTCGCGTAGCATGTCCTGTCCCGTCCTGTTTGCCCCTGTTTTTAAGTTGCACAATTATTCTTCATTTTGCAGTATTGATATCTTTTTGATAAAGAACAATTGACTGAATTCACTACAAAGTCATTTAGCTCCTGGTGAGCGTGGAAGGATCACCTGGATCGGCAGGCTGGCTTTTGATTGATCAGCCTGGGTTTTCATTCTCTGGCAGGCCTGGGAGAACCACCTGAGAAGGAACCGCTCCATCGTGGTGGACCTGTTCCACGGCCAGCTCAAGTCTCAGGTCAAGTGCAAGACCTGCGGACACATTAGTGCCCGCTTCGACCCCTTCAACTTCCTGTCCCTACCCCTCCCAATGGACAGCTCCATGCACCTGGAGATCACAGGTGAGCAGGCGGGACCATAGAAAACATTAACAGAACCACAGTACTCTAAAGCCGGTTGTGTAAGTTAGGGGTTTCCGACCCCCCCCGGCTGTGGAATGCTGGGGGTTTTGGCCACACCTTTTTGTTTATTTCCAAGCCAATCCCTGATGATCATTCATCTTGACTGCATGTGAAAAAATTGGAAGCAGTTAAACGAATTAAATCTGTCCTGCTATTCAATCCTCCCCCCATAAATAAGTTTAACTGCCAACACATGTAGTAAGTTGTAAGACATACTTGTGGAAGGACTGTGATCCAAAGAGAACTGAATACCCATCTTGATCGATTCGGTTCTCCATTCGTGTCTGTTTTGTAGTTATTAAGCTGGACGGCTCTACGCCGGTACGATTCGGACTGCGGCTGAACATGGACGAAAAGTACACCGGCCTGAAAAAACAGCTGAGCGAGCTGTGCAGCCTGAAGCCTGAGCAGATTCTGCTGGCCGAGGTCCATGCGTCCAATATAAAAGTGAGCCTTTTCCCTTTGTGTGTGCTCAACATGGAAGGGTGGCCCTCCTGACCGGTGGATTGCCCTAACTCGCTTGCCCTTTGTCCTAGAATTTTCCTCTGGACAACCAGAAAGTGCGGCTCTCCGTGAACGGCTTTTTGTGCGCGTTCGAGATCCCCGTGCCAGGATCACCCACGTCTGCGTCCTCCCCCTCCCCAACGGGTGAGGCCCTCGCTTCCAGTTTGTTTCGACAGTCTCAAACCACATAGCTAAATATTAACCTGACAAAGATATCCCATCATGCCCCTCATTCTTGGTGCTCAATCAGTATGTGTGTCTGCTGCATCTAGAATTGCCGCCTCTAGCCAATGGCACGGTCACCTCAGCAGCCAATGGCAATGCTCCCAAACCCAACCTGATACCCAATGGCATGCCGAGCACCGTGGTGCCCTGTGGGACAGAGCGGTGCCTTCCCAACGGCATCCCCAATGGTCACGTGGCCCCCATGCAGGATAGCCCCTTCATCGGCTATATCATCGCTATGCACAGGAAGATGGTGAGTCACTGTCCTTGTGTACCGCTGCCGCTGAAAAGGTGGCAGGTGTGTCTGTGGTAAAGCTGGTTTAAACCACCTTTGACAGACTATTGGCTAAGTTTAGAATTGTGAAAGCGTTTCGTAAATGTCTCTCTCTTAAGTGGATTGTTCGTAAGGTGTCTGCTTAACAAGCATAAAACTCTTCATGTTTTTTAATTCTTTTTTTTTTTTTTTCCTAGATGCGGACAGAGCTGTACTTCCTGTCGTCTCAGAAGAACAGGCCCAGTCTGTTCGGCATGCCCCTCATCGTCCCCTGCACGGTGCACACGCGGAAGAGGGACCTATACGACGCCGTGTGGATACAGGTGTCTCGACTGGCCAGTCCGTTACCCCCTCAGGAGGCCAGCAACCACGCCCAGGACTGGTGAGCGTCCCCTCTGTGGGCTGAGGTCACACTCTGCAGCTGAAATAACAGTGATCTATGCTAGCTTAGTAATTAGGTATGTATTACCCTTTTCCCACTAGAGGCGCTACTGCGCTCTGCAGGAATTTGAAAAAATGGCTGTATTTTTCAGCTCTGTTGGAGACGAGTCTGATCGAGCTAGAAATAACACCTATGTTTTTATAGCTGGTTATACTTGTTTACTTTCATTAATTTGCACTTAATTTAAATCATCCTGGGTGCTGTTTTTCAGTGATGACAGCATGGGCTACCAGTACCCCTTTACGCTGCGTGTTGTGCAGAAAGATGGGAACTCGTGTGCCTGGTGCCCATGGTACAGGTATGGTGTGTGTGTGTGTGTGTGGGGGGGGGAGGGTATGTATATATTACCCATGTAATAAAAACCTGTTTTGACCTTCTGGGGGCTGTTTTTCTGACCTCACAGAGGGAAACTCAATTTTCTAAAAATCTGTGACTGCAATCAAAAAAGAAAAAATGTCAGAAGTCTTGTATTTTATTTGGTTATTTATGGCTAAAGTTAGGGCTGGGTAAGCGGTTAAGGTCGTCATTGCTGGGATTAGGGTTTTTCCCATAGGAATGAATGGATGGCTCCCACAGAGATGCATGCAGATCTGCGTGCATACATGCATGTGTGTGCGTGTGTGTGTAGGTTCTGTCGGGGCTGTGCGGTGGACTGCACCGATGACCGAGCCTCACTGGGGAACGCCTACATCGCCGTGGACTGGGACCCCACCGCGCTACACCTGCGCTACCAGACCTCACAAGAGAGGGTGAGGCGCAGGGGGCCGTCTGACTCCAGAAGTGGTGGGGGAGGGGGCAGTGTCCTGGGTACTGCTGGACACCTGCTGTGTTTACCGGTGGAGCCATTTTGTGGCATCATTCGCATGACTGAGGGCCGTTCTTCTCGTCCATCTGCCTCCCCGTGGCATAAACTTGCCTTGGTCTCTGAAATGATCTGCTGTTGTATCGCTGATTGCCGACACTTACTGCAGTTTAAAATAAAAGCATGAACAGGCAAATTTGTAATTCCCATATGCTAAGCTACGTATGCTAAGCTACTCATCGACGATGGCATGGCACGATAATTATATTAGCAAATTGTCCTCGCTGCTTATCTAGCAGATATTAAAGGCAGTGCATTCACTTCAGCAGCAGTACCCACTGACAAGATCATTTCACCAGCGCTGAAAGGAGCTACTATGATTTATTGCTGCTATTATTAACTGTGACGATGTCACATGACTGTCACCTGAGCTGGAGCATTAGCAGTTAGCGGTAGCATGACTAACGCATCCCGAACCGCGTCCACAATCCTGGCCAGATTGTGGAGGAGCACGCCAGTGTGGAGCAGAGCCGGCGGGCCCAAGCGGAGCCCATCAGCCTGGACAGCTGCCTGCGGGCCTTCACCAGCGAGGAGGAGCTGGGCGAGGATGAGCTCTACTACTGCTCCAAATGCCGCACCCACCGACTGGCCACCAAGAAGCTGGACCTCTGGAGGCTGCCGCCCATACTGGTTAGAGCGCCGCCCTGCCTGTTGTAACCACCGCATGCAACCTCTTGCTGTCTGACATAAGCAACAAGGAGTAAATACTGCAGTTAGGAAACTGTGGACAGGAGTGTGGAACATGGTTCATTCTATATAACAGCTCATATTTCAGTAGAGGTTAGCTTTCATGCTATATTTAGCAAACCTTTTTGTTATAAAAGGTATAACCAAATGCCATTAAAACAGGAAAAATCCTGCATTCTCTGTGTCACTTATTAGATTAGTTCTGTTGAATTTGACACTGTAGTTCACACTAATGAAGCCTCCAGTGGTCTAGTTTTTTTTTTGCATTTTGCTACCTTCCTCTCATCTAATTCTATAGATGAGCCGCTCTATTATCAAAGAAGCTTCCCACTGCAGTGCCTTCACTAAATAGCATGTCTTCCACTGTGACAGATCGTGCACTTAAAAAGATTCCAGTTTGTCAATGGACGCTGGATCAAGTCTCAGAAGATCGTGAAGTTCCCCAGGGAGAATTTCGACCCCAGTGCCTTCCTGGTGCCGCGGGAGGCCGAGCAGGGGCTGGGAGAGTGCCAGGGGGAGGAGGTTGCGAAGGCTGGGGTAGGGGACGCCGCAATGGCCGTCTCTGTCCCTCCTGCTTCTGGCCTCTCTAACAACACCAAAGGTCAGTGCCCGTCACAGCAGACAAAAAGGGAATGGGTCCCCCTTCAGCCGTCCTTACAATGACACGTGTGTGTGTGTGTGTGTGTGTGTGTGTGTGTGTGTGTGTGTCTGCAGGTTCACCCAACACCGGGAGGAAGTCTGGTGCCCCGCGGAGCCGTGGCAGCAGTCCCAGCAGCAGCCCCAAGGGCGGCGCTAGAAAACAGGTCCGCCTGCGCATGCCCCAGCTGGGTAGCCGACACCGGCTCTGCAACAGCAAGGAGAACCTGGACAGCAGCAGGGAGAGCTCCTCTGAGCTGGAGCACAGTGCCCCCGATGGTCCGGGGGTCGCGCTTGCCTCTGAGACGACCACCCCCGAGCCCTGGAACACGGAAGCGGCAGGCAGGGACTGCGAGGTGATCGTCATGAACGGTCTGGGACAGGACAGCAGCCAAAGCAACGACCACACGGATGCCAGCGTTGACATGGAGACGCCCCATCACCAAAGAGACGAGGTCTACATGGAGCCCATGTACAATTTATATGCAATATCAGTAAGTATCCATTTTTTACTTGTGAATAAAACTGCCTCTAGTTCATTTTAGGAAGCTATTTGATTTGTAATATGCATGAATCGTATTGGAAGGAGAATGCATTATACTTATGACGATGGCTTTGACCTTAAAATTGGCAGCATGCTTCAGCCTATTGCAGACTAGAGCAGAGGAGACATTGTGTCGAGCTAATAAACATGCATTGAGTGGGTGTGACTGAAAGGACAAGTGGGGTTGATTTCGTAAGTCTACGGTGCAATGTTTTTCAAAGTCGAGACGATCATGGGGTTGATGGTCGAGACGATCATGGGGTTGATGGTCGAGGCGATCATGGGGTGGATGGTCGAGGCGATCATGGGGTTGATGGTCGAGGCGATCATGGGGTTGAGGCAATCATGGGGTTGATGGTGGAGGCGATCATGGGGTCGATGGTCGAGGCGACCATGGGGTCGATGGTCGAGGCGACCATGGCCCCTATCGTCCCGCAGTCTGATATAGATTCATTGCGGTCCCTTGCAAATGAGCAGCATTTGCCTTGTCAAACATGGATGGTGCTGAAAACTCTTCTCGGTGTCGTTTGCAAACCCGGTTTATGTTCCCGGTTTGCTTTCCGGAAGGTCACGAATCTTCGAATGATGCCCTCCCCCTTTCATTTCCGCAGTGCCATTCAGGAATCTTGGGTGGGGGCCACTATGTGACATATGCCAAAAACCCCAATGGGAAGTGGTACTGTTACAACGACAGCAGCTGTAAGGTAAGACGACCCGATCAGCAAAGCATCTGACTGCAATTAAAGACCAAACAAAATTTCTGTTATTCATCCATCTTCCAACCTTTAATCCCAATCAGGGCCTCAGGGATTCAAATTCTAATATTCCTCCTGTCTACCTTTAAAGCTCTTTAAAAAAAAATAAAGAATTAATCACGTAATTTATGGAATACTGAAATGTCTATTATGGATAAGAATTTGTTGATATACCCCTTAACACCCTTAGGAAGTGCACTCTGAAGAGATAGACACAGAGTCTGCCTACATCTTGTTCTACGAGCAGCAGGGAGTGGACTACTCGCAGTTTCTGCCAAAGACTGACGGAAAAAAGATGGCCGACACCAGTAGCATGGACGAGGACTTCGAGTCGGACTACAAGAAGTACTGTGTCCTTCAGTGAGGGAGAGGTCTCCCTTCAGCAGTCTCCATTCATCAACAAGCCTACGCTCCGTAAAAGGCCAAATGCCCAACCAAAAATGTCCGTCTTTCGGAATCAGCGGAAGGGAAACATAGGGCGACGGTTTCTTTCCTTAAATTCCCCCCTTCAGCTCATCCACTACCGAAGTCATCAGTCAGCTTGTGTGCAGCCACCCAATGTCGCAAGTATTCGGCTGCCATGTACATCTTAACCACAAGATGGCCGAATGGACCCCTTGGAGACCCAGAACCAACATATGTGGCGTAGTGTTTTTGACGATCAGTTGGCACCTACGGAGATTGATACGCAGGGAGTCATTTTGGATCAGGTGGTTGAATCGTGAGGACTCCCGCATTCTTCTCACGAAACTAGCGGTAGAAACCTTGCGCTCTACCTCATGGCCGGCATTCGCAGTACCGCGGCTCCTTGTGGCAGTAACATTACAGAAAGTCCAAATCTAACTGGAACGGTATGAATTCGGGTCAGACTGACAGCGGCAGAGTTACATGCTGGGCTGGCTGTGCCCCGTATTTCTGCATTGAGCTCACAGCGGACACTCACTGGGCAGAAAGACCACTCAAAGGTTTTTATAAACTGCCAAAATTGGGGCGTTTCAGTGAAGCTGGGCAATGTATTAAATCTATTAATGCAGTGAGTGAAGTTGGGTGTGCATTTCATTTTATTATTATTATTATTATTATTATTATTATTATTGCTGTTATATACATTTTTTAAGCCTGTGAGCTTGGGGTAACATTTCCTTTGCATTCAGGATGTGTGCCATACAGATTGTTTCGAAGAACACTTTGCGTGTTGTTTTAATTTACTGGCTTTTCTTCAAATACTTCTTTTATAGTTGTTTCTTTTATTAGTGATTTTAAACCTAAAGCTATTTTCAGTTTCCCAATCACAGGACTGCCCCAATCAAGTGGATTTTGTTTCTTTTTGCACACCCTTTTAATTTAAATCTAGTGCAGTGTTTCCAACCTGGGCCTCGATGACCCCTAGACAGTGCACGTTTTTGCAGGGAGGTGGGAGGGACCAAAAGCGTAGACCGCCTGGGGGGTCCCTGACAACTTGGCTGGGAAGCACCGATCTAGTGCAACAAGGATGTCCAAAAAGTCACCGAATTCTGCGATATTAGTTCATGCCATCCCAAAGCTTTTGTGTTGATATTATTGTCAGCTAATTTCCGGATGATCAGTTGATATCTACTCATTATTTAGTTGAGGTGCATGCAGACTGCGTCCCCGGCCCCATTTTCGTGGAATTGTAAAAAGCTGAAGTTGTTAGGCCAAAGTCGTACTGGTTTTGTGGCCACTGAGTGGCCTGTTCTGTGCTTTTGCGGGATTTCTCTTGACTGAGTGTCGTGCCGTCATATGAGCAGTGTTATTAAATGGGCCAGATTACCTAGAGGCTGTGTGGAGACACCATTTAAACCCCAGACCTCATCTTTATTTTTTCTTTTCCATTTTTTTTTTTTC